ATAACTTGAAATAAAACAGTGACTATTTATTTGTTCTCAAGTGTACGTAATCGCAATAATTTAAATGAACAGTAAAATTGAATTTCCCAATAATAAACCATTTTTAACCATAAACTATTTTCCACAAGTTCTTGTAGAGTCTCATACCTCCACAAGCTCTTGTAGGAAACCATTTCTAGTATTAACAAATCATTTATAACTATAAAACATTTCCCATAAGTTCTTGTAGAGTCTCATACCTCCACAAGTTTTTGTAGGAAACCAATTTCACACAATAACAATAATCGTTCAATAGTGTCATCCCATATTCTCATGTATATTGGTTGCTTCCCATAAATCTATACAACGACTCTACCTCGTTCACCCAATCATAACCACACAAACCACTTTAGGAAGGGCATATAACGTCTCCCACGGCATTGACGAATCCTTCCCAGGAAAGGTGTACCCACCCTTAGGCTCAAATTTACGTGAACAATAGCGGTTGTTCCCACAATTAACAAACTACTACAAGTGTTAGAAAACCATCTCACCCCCACTGGGATAGACTAACCTCCAACACTCTACGGCAGTGCTCGAATGTAATTCAAGTCCATCACAACAACCATACAAGGGATGCAATAACAAATATTTTCTTTAAAACACAAGAAAATTCAAAATCCCCAATTCTCACAATTTGTAATACAAGAGAACTATTTAAGAAAATAAGCAAGAGATTATCACAACATCATTTTATTACTCAACACAAAGCACTAGGGTTTCAAAGTTAAGAACAAAGGAAGAATCAAGAGGAAAATTCATCTCTTTTGAAAACTAGGGTTTTATGACAAGAAAAGAAATCTCATGGTTATATAACCATAGCTTTGTTTAAAACATGGTAATGATTGCAAAAATCTCAAAGAATCATGATTTCATAGCATATACATATGATTTAAAGTCAAAAGAGTACATATAGATAAGCCCTAGCCTCAATGTAGGGGAATAGGAAGAAAACCCCTACCTTGATGTTCTTGAAGAAATCTAAGGCTTTAATTCAATCCAAAGTGCAAAACCCCTTTGATCTTGTGTTTTTTCCCTCTCTTTCTTCCTCTCTAAGATTTTCTAGGGTTAAAAGTGTTGAAATGGGCTAAATGGGACGTCTTTATGTATTTATAGTGGAAAGAGGGCCGACTATTCATGACTTAAAAATTTTTGGAATCTGTCGAGGTTACTAGTACGCGTACCGGTACGGTATGGCTACTGGACTGCGTCGTACCGGTACGCATACTAGTACGGCGCAGTATTTATAGTGGAAGGAGGGCCAACTGTTCGGGACTTAAAAAATTTTGGAATCTGTGGGGCATACCGGTACGGTCTGGCTACTGGTTTTCGGCGTACCGGTACGCTTTTGTTGAATCTGCTTGTTTCCTCTATTTTTCATTTCCAATCCATTTCTAATCTTTCCAAGGTCATCCCAAACTTATACAACATACATTTGCACATCAAACAGGGTTGGTACAACTTCTATTACAAATGATTTCATATATTTATCCGGGTTTCCACAATATCATTATTTCTACAGTTATAACCCATATGATTCATTCCTACGCCATTACATATATTAAAATTTTTACACAATTTATTATGATATTACTATAAACATGTGAGGGTTTACAATAATGCTACATTCAAAGGAGATACGTCTCTAGTAGTTGTATAATAAGTACACATTATATAAAGTCATGAACCAATTGATACTTTCAAAAATAGGTAATTCTTTATTCTCCTCCTCTTGATTGTTCTGTTTTTTCTATTATAATTGGTATGACTATAATTATGTGTGTTGTTTGCAAAACTAATTGACCATGTATCGTTAACACCAGAGATGAAACAACATATACATATATGGCAATTCCATCACAAGTTCTGCTGCAAGACCTTATTTCTTCTCATTTTCTCAGTTCTTACTATCATACCCTTATTATTTTGCTTTTGGTATTGTCAATACGATTTTAGAGAATTTATTTTTGTATTCATACTACTTAGTATAGCAGAAGTGTCATATTTCTATATAATAGATGTTGTTCTACAAGTCAAGTGTTGTCTTTTGGTTCTTCGTAATTGGAGTGGAAGAAGTATGATCCTAATAATAACTATATTAGGCATTTTATCCCTGCGTTGACAGGTAAGTCGAAATGTTTCTCTTGTTTCTATTGGCTAGATATTTTCTGCTTTCTGAAATCTAAAATCTAATGCCATGCCCAGATATGCCTAAATAGTATATTTATGAGCCATGCACAACTCCCCTAAGCATCAAAACCAAAGCAAAGTGCATCATTGGAAAAGATTATCCAAAACCAGGTCATATGTCTTAAGGGGTTGGTCTTCGATATCATCTTTATTTAGGTATGTAAACCTCGTATCAGTCATTAATTTGTTCAGTTTACCTATTGATTTCCTTTGTTTACCTATGGTAATATTGAATTCTTTCTGACTTCCAAAACCAACAGTTGGATTTGATTATAGAGTATGCATGTTTGTGGTAAATGAGCAGTTTCATGTGTTGCTTTGTTTATTTAATTTCCTCGCTTCAGGTTCTTTGAACACAAAGTGAATACAAGTGGTTGGCGAAAACTTTTGTACAGTGGTGGCCTGGATTGTTCTGCATATCAGGTAAAAGAAGTGCACCAGACCTCTAATCTCACATAGCTGATGCACTCATGTAGCATTATCCAAATATATTTTTTGATAAATGGTATGTGGAAGAAAATACTTTCCACCATTGGAATGTTTGGAACATTGAAAAGCTGCTAAATTTGTTGGATCATTAGGTGTGATTAAATACACTGACACAATTTCACATATAATAGTTTTTCTTTTGATCATGTTATTTCTCAATGTGCTCCAATTGACCATAGGTATTGATATATTTGCTTTCCAAAACAATATTCCTGTCTTCTGCCCAAGCTTGACTGATGGCTTAGTGGGTGACATGTTATACTTCCATTCTTTCTGGAATCCTGGTTTAGTCATTGACATAGTGCACAGTAATGAAACCCCACCCCCTTCATTGTCATTTTGGTAGGTGTGGAAATTAGTTGATTTTTTCACTGTATAAACAGATATTAGGGCCATGAATGGTGAGTCAGTCCATACTGGCCCCAGGAAACTGGGACGATAATTCTTGGAGGAGGGCTGCCCAAGCATCACATTTGCAATGCCAATATGATGCATAATGCTGCAGATTTCGCTGTCTTCATTAACACAGCACAAGAGTTTGATGGGAGTGATTATGGTGCCCGTCCTGACAAAGCTGTATCATGGGGAAAAATGCGAGGCTATGAAAATACTGTTAAGGTGTAGCTTTTTGTATTTAGCTTCCTCCCTTTTGATTTTTTTTATTTGTGCTGTTGTATCTTATTTTGGTCCCTCACTGTCCTATTATGTTTCCATAAGTGTTTTTTGTTGCCTGGTTCTATATGTAACAGAGTGTGCTAGAATGAAATTTTCCTGATGCATGATTTCTCCTTGTTTCTCTTGACGATTTTCCATTTTTTATTTTTGTTAGTCTTTAGTTCATTTTCTTGATGATTTCATAAAATTCTGCTATGAAAACCTCTGTCATTCCCCTATAGTGAGATAATTCAATAAAAAAAGAAAGAGTAGGCTGCACTCATTTACCAGCATTCTTGTCCCAGTGGTATTGTTGTATTGTTTTCTCAACATTAGTGGACTTGGATTGTGTTTGTTCGCAAGTTGTGGAGGTACCAAATGTATCCTAGAAGGATATTAGTGGGCTGGACAATGTGAAACGGGAGCTTCAACAGGTATGTCTTTTGTCCCTATGGGCATGGATTATCTGATTAATCCTCTCCTATTTAATTTAGTTTTTTCAAATGCATGTGCTCCTTCTTTATTCAAATAATCAGATGTTCCTCTCATATTATCATGGTAACTGTTTATGCGCATGATAAATGAAATTTCAAAACATTGTGGCTGCTGGAAGACCATGCAATACTCAGTGGAGCATCCCGAGAAGTTTGAAAAATTTGGCATGTCACCTTCCATATGAGTTCTCTTTTATGGACCTCCTAGATGTGGCAAAACCTTGGTTGCCAACGCTATTGCTAATGAATGTCAGGCCTGTTTTATAAGTGTCAGAGGACCCGAACAGTTAACAATTTGGTTTAGAGAAAGTGAGGCAAATGTTCAGCAGATATTTGACAAAGCAAGCTAGTCAGCTCCATGTGTGCTTTTCTTCAATAAGCTTGATTCCATTGCAACTCAGGTACTCATTTTCCTTCTATCCATAAGTCTAAGTGCATCCCAATTCACAAATCTACAACCTTGACTATCACTTATTGCTTGTGGCATTCTCTTATCAAATCCACAGATTTACAATCTTGTTCCTAACATTTATCCTACTCCCCCTACCCCAACGTGCCTGCAAATACGCCATCAAAGAAAATATCGAGAAGGTGAGAGATTTTTCTACTCATGAAGTTGTGTTCTATACAACATTGAAATAAAAAAAGGGGAGCAAATGCAATTGCACTAGATGCATCAATGGACCAGATGGTGGATATTTACCTGACCTTCATGATTTTTCATTTTATAATTTATATTTTTGGAGCAAAATGAATCTGGCAGAGTCATGACTTATGACTGAGATGTGATATTTGTTTTTCTTGTATGCTAAAAGTTTGGAACACAATACATGAAAGCTAGCTTCAACCAGCATTTGAAATGGTTCAAATCTAGCCGGAAAGTGATTTCATGCTTTCCCTCTAGGTTGTTAAGACCTTGCTAGAAGATTACTTGTATGAACTCTTTAAATTGATGAACTGTTGTCTGATCCAACGACTTTTTACTTTGGTCATCCAAATGACTTATTAGATACATGATTAAGGACCGTCAATGGTTTATACTAGACACTTGAGCCATGGGTGGTTTTAATGATCCACAACCAGACTAGCCTATGTATATATAAGCTAAAGGCATCTAAAGAGTCCAATGTTTAGATGAAGAATTATGAATCAGGTGAGTATACTGATTGTGTAGTCTAATTACTTTGTAGAATTAAGTGAGTATAGTTGATGAAAAGCTTATTTTAATTCTTGGTTATTAACTATATGTTTTTTTTTGGTGAACACTAAACAATGCATACCACTTAGCTCGCTGGGGACATCTAATAGCAAAAGGGTTCAAAACCTTTGTATGAAAGCTGACAAAGAAACAATAAATGTATGGTTTATAGTAGTTCATGATTTTTCACATTTCAATCACAAAATATATATATATATATACACAAACCTATTTCATTGTTTTTAAAAAACTAACAATATGGCAATACAGCTTTTAAGATTTTAAGATTTTTTTCTGCCATTGTTCTTATTCGCAGAAAATCAAGACTTCATTCAAGAATTGTTGTGGAATATCCTTACAGCAGATTTCATGGTTTCTATGGATACAATAGCAGACTAACGAATGGAAGGGCAAGTCTTTGAAAAAGTTTCTGACATTTGCTAACGATTGTCATCTATAAAAGTTTCAAATTCTTCAAGAAATAAACAAATGGAATTGATTTGGAACTTGTCAGTCCATTGATAATACAATACCAATATAATTATTGATCTCTGCTGGTTAATGAGTTTGGACAATTGTTTCTATAATGAATGAGTAACCTTCATTTTTTTTCAGTAAGTGCACAAATAGCCTTCGTACTATATTTCTTGGTATGCATTTACAATGTTTTTTGGTCAATAAGTGCATTGGACTTTGTTGCTTTGTACTTGTTAACGGGATTTTGTTGATTGTTTATCACTTCAATTGTAATGCCAATTCTTACCATCAACAAAATACAATTATATTTATGAAAAAAAAATAGTTGTTGTATTCAAACAAGTTTAGAGAAATCTCTAATATGACATGCACACTCAAAATGGTCTACGTGCAACACATGTATGCATCAACTAGTATATATATATATTTTCTTTTTCTTTTTTTCTTTGTGTGTGTGTGTATATATATATACACACACACAAAGAAAAAAATAATATAAAATCCAACATTTATACTTGATCTATTTAGTCGTGAAATGAATTAAATTGATGGAGAAGCCGAGAAGGATAATCAATGTTACATACTTGCAAAATCATCTCCCTTCCCTGCATACAATGTAATTGACCAGAATGTAAATAATGTCAATACGGCATAAGTCATGCTGATAATAAGCATCAGGTTGTCTAAATTGCGTAGTTTTTCTAATCAGGCTTGTGTCAGTTGGGAACTTAGACGTTGCTGTTAGTTTACTGCTTTCCACTCCTCCTGAAAGCTCTTACTTCTATGCAAATGCCCTCCGTGCTGTTGCTCTTTCATCCGCGGTGTCTAAGTCTCTGCTTAAACCGGCAGTAAAGGTTAAATGTTAAATGTTGTTTCCCCATATCATATGGCGTCTTTTTATGATATCTAGGTTGTTGCAGCCAATATGGTCAGGACCGAAAGTTCATTGTCTGGCACACATCTGCTCTGTGCTGTTGGGAGGTATCAAGAAGCTTGTTCTCAGGTGGTATTCTATTTTTTGATTGGTATTTGTTGCGTACCTTTGTTATCTATGATCTAAATTCCACCTATTATTATTCTTCACTTATCTTGGAGTTTTACTTGTTTGATCTTGTGTCATTCGATCTTTTTTCTGTGTGTGCGTAGTGCGTACTGATTAGGATATGAGGCAGATTTTCCTGTTTCAAGCTTACCCTGTACCTGTTGATAATGCTTTCTGTATAGCACTATAGGCTCTATACTTGTATTGCTCACTTTAAACCATTTTCTTAATCTTTGTAACTCATCTATGGCATTTCAAGGCCCTTCCTTTCGTTTGCTGGGTTATTCATCATTTGGAGTGCAGTTTTCATCTGAAATGAATGATGGGCATTAAAGCTTAGCTGTAAACAGTCCTCTCTCCCATTCCATTTGGCATAAAATAGTGGAGTATTAGCGTATGAGACACCCTGCATCTCTGTTTTTGTTGTGTTTCATTGATTAAGTTGCTGAATGGCTCCTGGGATAAACTGGTTGAGTGGTGGCCAATAATTGAACTTCTACCATATGGGAATGTGCAACTATTAGCTCCAACATTATTCAAAACTCTAGGTAGTTGGCACTTGACAGTAGTTCCCAATGAAGACTAAATAGTGCTTATGGAAATTCTGTGTAGTCCAGGTCGGATTGCAATTGTGATTACTAGAATTAATTGGGTGACTTGATGTTTGCTGTGATCACCTATGCTCATGGGCAAGTCCATAATGAGCTGCAACTGTGTGCAGAAAATAGATCCAAATTTTGTTGGGGGAGGGCGGTGTGTCTAATCTTAATAATGATCCAACTGTTTCTGTTGCTTATTCACCAAAAAAGTATAAATGTGCCTTTGGGAATTCTTGGTACTCTTTTAACAATAAAGTTTATTTTGTTGTTTTATGGGTAGATGTCCTTGTGCTTTATGTTGGTTGTTCTTTCTTTCATTGGTCTGGCTCGTTTTAACAAGTTTCTTTCCTAATGGAGTGATGTAGGCTGCTTAGCTACAGCAGGCTTGTCCAGATGACTACACTAGTTGTGCCAGTAAGTTAGATGCCACAACTTTGACGAGGTTGTAATATAGGTGGTAGTATAAAGCTTAGCTGTCACCCGTATACTAGTGAATCTGTGATTACTTTGCCTTCTTTTTTACATATACTCACTCCCTGTGTGTGTGAGTGTGTGTGTGTGTGTGAGAGAGAGAGAGAGAGAGCAGGGGTAAGGGTGCCTACTGCATACATGCATCTGCTTCTACCAGATGAGAGAATGTCAAAGAAATGGATAAAACTTTATCTTTCCTAGTTTTAATGCTTACTTGTTATAAATGAAACATGAGTTATCAAGCTAACTTCAGCCAGATTGCCATACCAGTTCATTTACAAAAATTATTTTTCATTGGACTCAAAATTTGCTCTTATATTTATCTCATTCTAGTCATGATATGCTGTGGTCTCTATTTTGGCGGGGGAAAATAATGTTATGTCCCTGTTTGACTTATTTTTCAATAATCGTGTTTAGAAGACCTTGATTTCATCAAATGTGATCCAGCAGGGTGTTGCAAAGGTGGACCGAACATGTCCTCCATGCTGAGCATAACATCTGGAGGTATTTGTTCACCTCAAGATTTTTCCTCTCATATGCTGTATTTTGAATGCTAATGTTGGTCCAATGCAGTGCTCTAATTTTATTCGTTGCAGCTGGTGCATTGCAAGAGGCATTGACGGCACTTCGTGAGGCACAACAACTAGACACCGCTGCCATGTTTATTCTTGCTTATCATGAAATCCGTGCTGAATTCATCTCCAGCTTGGATTCAGATGGAGAATCAAGTCCTTCAAACAAGGAAAACTGCTTATCTTGCCAGGGTTGAATCCGGACAGTGAAGATGCTATTGAGTTGGTGAACATTTTGGGCAGTCCCAAAGAAAATTAGTGCATTTGTGCATGGACTCACAGCCTTTTTCTGACTGAGCAGCCTCACTATCACGGTTATCTGGTAAGCTTTCTTTTGGATCTCTATGGTCTGTTCTACCACTGATGAAATTACGAGAGCAACAATTCAGTGCCAGTTGAAGCATCCCCTATAAAATTGAGTGATGAAATCACTTGGATTTGGTACACCAGTGGGAATTTCCAGTTGGATGAATTTGAACAAAGTGGGCTTTGGGGAATGTCAGATATATCTGGAAAATCTGCATCTCCTTGACTGAGGGTGGCACATTGTGGCAATCCTTACAAAAGAAATCATTACGTCGAGGCCCGAGGGTGATGATGTGGTAGCCTTGTAGAAGATTTTACGAGCAACATAATTTTATTTTTGACTCTTCAAATTAAAACGTATTTTGGGAACCAAAATTGGTTGAGAGTTGTACGTTTATTCAAAGAAAAAACTATTGTATCCACTGTATTTTGGGCAAATTCTATAATTCATTTATGTAATTTTCTCATTTAGTATTAACCCGGAGAGTTCATGTAGTTCTCCCCGTTTAGGCCTCCCTTAGTCGTTGGTTCCCAACGGGCATGAGCTAATTCTATTATGGTCATCATTTGTCCACAATTCTTTGTAAATTGTTCCCTTCTACTCTTTTTTGCCGGTGAAAAAAGAAAAAGACTCGGGTATCGCATTAGCACCATCATAATGCTATGCTATAATTAAATAGTCCGATTTCCCTTTTCAGGATCACTCGAGAAGGTCCCCCGTGAAATCATTCTTTATTTGTCCCTCAGTAGACAAGTGACAACCTGCTCTCATTGCTGGAGCAGCTTGGGCTGTCCATCGAAGGGCAACAGTTGTGGGCCTGGGTAGTTTTATTTTGTGGATATTGAGGCTGAGTCCTCCTTGATAGATTTATAATGATTTAAATCCGTTAAGAAAACTTATTTGATGATAAATTTATTTTTTATTTTACTCATAAGTACTTAAGTCCACTATTTTTTAAAATTTCAAAAATACCTTTAACAGTGTTATTATGTTCAATTATAGAAATCTTTTAAAATTTCAAAAATACATTTAACAGTGTTATTATATTCAATTATAGAAATCGTAAAGACCTTAAAAGTAACTTTAAATTAATTTTTTAAATTATAAATTATTATCCCTCAATTCACTCCTAAATTAAAATTGAAATGTATATATTTATATATATATATATATATATTTCCCCCCTCTCTCTCTCTCTCTCTCTCTCTCTCTCTCTCTCTCTCGTTTGAAAAAGACTATCACTCCAATACAACAAATATTTTTTCTTAGTTATCATTTCTTCCTCCATAGTATCAAAATCAGTAGGGTTTGAAACATAATCGACAACTACCATACCTTCTACTGTGTTCTGGTCATCATGAATTTCTATGTCGTTGGTTTTCGAAAAAAAAAAGGTTGAAATTTTGCTCAATGTGTTATTAGTTTGATTTCCAATTTTATTTTTATTTTTTTTTATAAATAATCCCCAAATTGTTTTAATATTTTATGTTACTACGTTTTTTGTTGACTATGTTATTATTTTTTCTAATTGATCATACTACTATGTTTTTTTCATGTTACTATTTTTTATTGAACATGTTATTACTTTTTAGTTGTTACTTTTTTGGATACTGAAGAATTGGAGACTTCTTCCTCTGGTTATTGGTTCGAATGCTACTATTTTTATTTTCAATTTTGTTCAATGTTCTATATTTTTATTTTTTTTTTGTTAAGCATGTTACTGTTTTTTGTTAAATATGTTACTTTTTTTATTAAACATGTTATTATTTTTGTTAAACATATTACTATTATTATATTTTTAAAATATTAATATTAAATGTTACTATTTTATTGTGTTTAAATGCTACTTTTTTTTTATTTAAATATTACCATTTTTTATTTTTAATGTTACTATATATATATATATATAATCCTAATTTATATATGAATATAAATACATATAAAAAAAAATTTAATGTAAGTCAAACTCTTAAAATTTAAGAATTTTTAATTTTTAATTTTTAATTTTTAATTTTACTTCATTTCTAATGAGAAGGAATAGTCTGATAAAATTGACAAAAAAACGAACTGCATAACAAATAAATTTCTTTGACGAACTTAAGTCCAAATAAGTCCATATAGAAAGACCGGCTCCCAAATTTCCCTTTTATTTTTGAAAAGCTGGACAGCAGGATGTGACAATTTTCAAGCTGCATATTAGAAATTCGTCAAGCCTAGAAGTCGACATATGCTAGAACAATGATATTTGCAAACTTCTCATCTACTAGAAGTCTTTGTTATAAAATAACAAATTATACCCATCTCCGTAATTGCAATGCCGTTGGCACAGCTAAGAATCACACAATTCGAATGCTTAACAATAGTGTGTGAATTTAATTAAGTGCTACAAAATTGACATGACAAATCAAATTACTTGATACTTTATGCCACATGTCAGTGTAGCTATAACCCAAATAGCATATTGCAATGGCCCCAGGAGTTGTCATTCTCTCATGTTCAAGGTTGATGACAACTTGAAACACGTTCCCATGTAAGGTAAGCTTAGTTAATACTTCCTCAATATACACTTGATACTGACCAAAGAATTTACAGAGCTACTGTCTTTGCTTATTTCCTTGCTTGGATACCCTTGAATGGCTTGCCACTGTTTCACTCTTTTGGATGCATCGGATCCCATATAACAAGCAAGCTCAGTTCTTCTGATTTTCTCTTTTCCCACAAAAGTATGGCTGGATCGAAATTTCAGCAAAATGAGTAGATTGTCTTGCTTTACACAAAATTTATAGAAGCTCAGATCATTCCATCGTAAGTTCAGGTTGACAGAACATCCCAGAAGCCAAAACGAAGAATTTCATGTTTTGAAGACTGAAGTAATTAGGAGTTTCATCTTCACGAAACAATCCAAACCTGCTTCAACCTTTCCTTCGTTTCAAAAGTATTATGACCAAGTGACATGACAAAGCATACTCATCCAAGAAACTGCAGGAGACATTAAATTGTGAATTCGCATTCTTGTAATTTTCAATATATGTACGGTTGGCAATGAAATTTGAAATTTTCGATGTGGTCAAAATGAAATGATACTGAATACAAGACAGAGGACAGAGTATTTTACACCTTACCTTCTAGGTTCTTATATACTAGTGAAAGAATCACTTGCGACATCGAGCAGACCCCAGCTCCTCATACTCGGTCTTAGTCACACACATTGCTTCAAAATCAGGACTAGATGCCAAAAGTGAACCCCCGCGCCAAACACCTAAAATAGGACTGTCCAGACAAGAAAGTGTTACCAATCTGGAAGTAGCAATATGTTTTAGGAAACAGTTTTTCAAGTACATAAGGGCTTACTCTTCTTGAGTAGTTATCTTCACTTGGTATATATCGGGTACAAGAGGTCGGAGATCCCTTTCTCTATAGTGGAACAAAATAATTTGTGCTGAATTCCAAATTATCCATTACAAAAATATTTCAAAGCAGTGGCAAAAAATTGAAATCTTACAATCTTTCAGCAAATCGAGGAAAAAGTGTGCTTCCACCAGTCAATATAATGCTGCCCAAACACAAATTTGAAAAACAGGTTAGTGCTACGAACCAGACATGCATACCAACAAGCAACCACATGACAAATTTTCACTAGTAAAAAATGGATTCCCAGTAATACCTTTCATAGAGCACAGGGTGAAGATGAGGATGGCAGGAATTGACAGCTTTAACAATGCACTCTGCTAGTCCAGCCTGATTCATTCCTGCAAAATGTCCACAAGTCAATGACACTGCTGGTTGTAAATAAGGAAAAAGAATGAGAATATATCAATAATCAATCACTGAATCTTGTACGCAAATTAAACAAAGATTTTTTGTTATTTTTTTGGGGTAACAAAAAAATTGAAAACCTCATAATATAAAATGTTATACCGACCCAAATCAGCAGGACGAAAGATCATCTCTGGGACAAGGAAGCGCTCATTTGTCAAAGTAAACTCCTGTTCAGAAGGTAAAACATTTAGATGTGGAGTCTTTGGCATGGACTACTTTCTCAAGGGAAAATGTATAGTACAGTTTGTGTTAAATCAATTTTTCTTCTGTCCTCGGGCTTTTCTCTAACTTCTAGCTGATCCATGTCCTCTTTTCTTTCAGGTTGCGGAGGTAGGACTCCATCTGTAAAAGCAAGGTATCCATTTGCCTCACCTGGATCTTTTACAAAACCCTTTGTGTGTGTGACACCATCAGGAAGAACATATGTGCAACTGAAGTAGTTGTCCTTTCCATGTCGTCTGTAAGAATATTTCAGAAGGAGTGAGCAAAACAAGGCAATAAAGGCCTTCATAAGAAAATTTTGACTTTTGTAATAATAGATTATGGTCAATTTTGAAGAGAACATGATTCATGCTTTCCCAAGCCCCGAGCTTCAACTTCAAAATCTGTCCTGAATCATGTTTTCACATAAATTCATCCCCCATAGTAACATGACGTCCCTTCAAGACATATGTTCAAAAGGAATTGACTCTCTTTGGTTCTTAATGCTTGTTTTCTTATGTTCCACCAGTTTACCATTCACACTAGAAATTTTCTTGGAGTTTATGGAACCCAACAACCAATGGAATTGAAAAATTGCTAACTAATTACATATGCTCGTTACGTTGTAAGTTTGTACCTGGTTTCTCTTCGAAAGGGGAAATAAGTCACCCTCACAGCCTTGAGATATTCAATTCCCACAAGCATATAACTACCCTTCATGTTATATCAGCAAACACGACATTAAACTACATCGATACAATTATCAGTTAACTGGAGCCTTTTGCTTTCTCAGATCCCAAATAATGAAAAACCTATAAATATAGGAATTCCTCTTTTGGTCCGTGCTGCTGTGAAACAACCAAACATAGAATAAAGTGAATTCATTTTTTTTAAAGCCTTTATTGTCAACTTGTTCCATAATTTCCATTTGAACCAATCCCTAAAAGGCTTAGGATTTAAAATTATCCCAACTATATAGAGATAATATTCAGCAAGAGCACTAGTTTTCATTGAATAATTCAATTTTTAGTAAGTGGCAAAATTTTGATATACTGGTAGGAGGAAATGTTCAAATGCAGAAGTCTAATATGATTTCTTTTTTTCAATAGGAAACGATGATAACATTAATTTTTAAAGTAAAAAAGTATTACAATTAAAACAATTCAAAGGTGGACAAGACGTCCAACCCAAAGACAAGTTGAGTGTTCTAATTGGCTTAAATCTGGGCCGTTGTTGAATAGAGTTGGGGTAATGCCTCAAAATTTTCCAAGAGTTGCAGAAGTTTATAAAGAAAATGTTTGGCAGTGGCAGATGTTGGGGTGGTTTAGTAGATGATGGAATGAAAGAAGAGATTAAGAATTCGAGAATTACTCTATCTGATAGTACTGATTTTCTGGTATGGGAATTGAATGATTCTGGGCAGTTTTCGGTGAAATCAGCTTGGCATTTGGCAAGACAGGCTGGAAATGAAGAATTGGTGGCTAAGGCGATATGGGTTCAGGCTGCTCCACCTAGTGCTAAGTTGTTTTGCTGGAAAATTAACAAAAGTGCAGTGGCTTTGGATGTTAGGTTTCAGAAATTGGGGGTGAAGTTAGCTAGCAGGTGTTCGCTATGTTATAAAGCAATGGAAAGTGGAGCTCATGTGTTTATTCGATGTGACTTTTCTGCACAGGTATGGCAACACTTGGCTGGTTTTTTTGGATTTAATTTGATTGAGAATGAAGGTCCTATGGGAAGATTAATGAGATTAGTAAGAATTTTTAAAAAACAGTCTCTTAGTCATATCCTAGTTAGGAGTGTGGCTTTGGTTGTGTTTTGGTTATTATGGAGAGAGAGATGTAGAAGAGTTTATGGAGAAGGATGTTTGTCTGCTTTTTCTATTTTCAAGAATACCTGCAACATTGTTAAGCTACAAGCTTATGGAATTCGGCCGAAAATTCCTGACAGCATACATGGAAAGAAAATGTTGCAGGAATTGGGAGTTACAAGATGTGGAAAAATTGAAATAAAAGCAATATGGGTTAATTGGTCCTGCCCAATGGAGGGATGTTTGAAATTAAACGTGGATGGAGCCTCGAAAGGGAATCCGGGATGTGCTGGTGGTGGTGCAGTGATTCGAAATCAATGGGGTGATTTGGTGATTGCAGGATCTTTTCTTTATGGAAACTGTTCTAATATGGAAGCAGAATTAAGGGCTCTAAAAGATGGTTTATGTCTTGTTGAAAAATATGATTTGTTGGGGTACCGAATACAAGTGGAGGCGGATTCTAAAATTATGGTTAATGTGGTAATGAAGGGGCATTTACGTGCTTGGAAATATTGGGAGTTGATGAGGCAGATTAAGGAGATTTTGGGGAGATTAAATTTTCAGTTGACACATGTGTACAGAGAAGGAAATTCAGCAGCTGATTTTTTTGCAAATTGGGCTGTGCAGTGTGGATGTTCTATGGAGTTCTCTGCGGCTTCGGAAATTCCTCATCCAGCCAGGAGATTGTTGCTGCTTGATAAAAATAGACACAAATACTTTAGAAAGAAAATTGTATTTTCTTGATTTTCTTGGTATTTTGGTAAAAGCGAATTGTAAAGGCAGGAATGTCTGCTTTTTCTTTGATTGTAAATTTTGGGTTATGGAATAAAAATTCTTGATTTCTTTAAAAAAAAAAAAAAGACAAGTTGAAACAAAGTAAATACAACGAAAAACCAAAAACTATTCCACATGAATCTCTTCAATTCGAGATGATGCAAAAAAGAGGAAAATTCTCAAACTCTTTAGACAATGTTCCCAAAAGGAAGCAATCTCATAGACCATCGACCTCCTCACATTTGTCATAAAAAATTCTCACATTCCTTTCCAACCAAATAACCTAAACAATAGCAAAACAAGCGTAAATCCAAGGAATCTCTCATCTTCTATTTCCACCCCCACTTAGGAGTGTGAAACTATCCACAAAGCCAACACCGACTCCAACTCTGATTCCGGTTTGACTCCGCCTCGGATCAGAGTCAGAGTCAAAATTTGAAATCTTTTCCGACAAAACTCTAACTCCGACTCTGAATTTTATTAATTAATAATTTTATAAAAATTAATATAAGATTCTTGCTTTTGAGACAAAACAATAAATTAGAATACACTTTGCTTAGTGTTTAAGCCATAGAATCATAGTATCAAATTTAAAATAAAGGATGCTAACAATGTGATTACTAATCATGCATTTTATTAGAGGGAAAGTCAGATCAAACTTCTCATTATAGTCTGAAATTATTTATCTTACATATAAAAAACAAAATGGCAGCTTATTGTAAATAAATGGTGAGTTAGTCATATTAACAGTCCGAATCCAACTCTTGCCAATCCCTAAGCCCCACCTCAATTTTATTTTCCCTCTCTATCTCAACTCTGACCGAAAAGAACCAAATGAGGAAAACCTATTGCTCCAGTCTCCACCAACAACAAGGATGGCTGAGATTCACTAAGCGTAGATCCAACGTTCCTCATAGACTCGTCCTGGATGGGATAGTCAGCTTCGACTGCCTCTAAAGCCCTATCTCGTTGTGAATCCA